GCTCACAGGCGCAGGAAGTGGCGCGGGTGCGAAGTGAATGCAGACTTGCCAGGCTGTCAGGCCCCCGGGGCAGGTCAGGGTGGGAGTGGGTGAGGGGCGGGGCCCAGCTCAGTCCTGGGCCAGCAGCTGCAGCAGCAGCAGCCGCAGCACCAGCTCCGGTGCCAAACAAACCTGTTTAGAACCTTTTTGCTAAGCGAACTTGGATGAGGTTGCAGAAAGACCTAGGGATGCGAGGGCGAGGGAGGGGAGCAGAGGCCATATGAAGAGCTGGGACGAGCCAGTGTCTCCTCTCTGCTTGGCCTGTTGCAGGCCAGGCTAGATCGCACAGAAACGCAGAAGTCGTGCTGTGGTTGCTGAGATGCTGAATATCCTCCCAACAAACCCCATGATTTAAGGCTTCCGGTGCTCGCTCCCTTTCATCTCCAAGAGCCCTCGAATAGCACTGAGTATGAAAAAATGCAACAGTTTCAGAGATAAAGCATTATTTTGAAATATTTTAGGGTTGCCCATAGAAACAGAAACTGTACTCTTACATTAACCTTTATTAGAGGTCCTCCCCCCACCCTTGCCCCCTCCATAATGAACTTTTTTTTTTTTTGCTTAGAGACCTACATCTTCATAAGTGCTTAGGGGTGGAAGGGAGATAAGAATTCCTCAAGTCCCCATCAGTGCAAGAATTGGCATAACCCCATCTCCAGCCTCTCCTGGGGGGAACACTACTCCTGGAGAGCATCTTCTCCATTGGAGATCCCTGCTTTTAAGGAGTTTTCTTTGAGTTCAGTCAAAATTTGCTTTTCTGTGGGTTCCACCCCTCAGTTCTTACTGTGACCTCTGAGATAATATATGCCCCTGGTATAGCCCTTATGCCCTTTAGATATTTGAAAACAAAGATCACTGTGTTGTTGCTTCCTCTCCCCCAACCCCAGGTTAGAAGTCTCTGGTCCTTCACTCTCCTCTTGGGGTGACATGATTGTAGGCCCCTCCCCAATAAGGTCTGTCCCCTTCAGGTCTCTGGTTGGCACTTTCCTTTTTAAGGAGTGGCCTCAGATTGGAGCATCATACCGCCCTCCGGCTCAACCACTGCATCTGTGACTCTGGATGGAGCCCAGGCAGCCTCACTTAACTGTGGTAAGCTACATTTCCATGTCTTTTTTCAAGGGAAATTGTTTCTCCATCTCCTGCATTTTATGAGTTCTTCCAAGCAAAAGATGTTCCAGTTTGTTCCTGTTAAATTTCCTCTTATGATATTAATCCTGGGAGGCAGCCTGGTTGAAACTGGAGAAAGACAAACCTGGATTCAAGTTTGTATCCAGTATATGAACTGTATGATGTTGGGACAAATGTTTTTCTCCGAACCTCAAGTTCTCGAACAGAAAAATGAAAGAAAACATTCACAACTGACCTGTCCCTTTCCTACCTTCACTGTAGATTGAAAAAAATAGATGTGTTCTCAGTCTCCCCTATAGTTATGAGTACCCATGTGACAGACTGGGGCCAATGTTTCACAAATGGAAGTTGGCTTTTGTTGGAGGGAGCTTTTGCATTTTAGCTAAAAGGGGTAGGAGCCTTAGCGAGCATTTGTCCTTCTCCCTCACTTCCTGCTGTGAATGTAGAGATGGTTGGAGCTGCAGCAGCGGCTTTGTAACCATGGGGGGCAAGCTAAGAGAATCAGAGATGCCATCTTTGACAGTACCTAGCTGCCAAGTCAATACCAGTGGTCGTCTTCAGACTTAATATGGGGGGAAAATCCCATTATCTAACCAGCCAAATCTATCCTAGCTATAAGGATCAGAGCCTGTAGATTGCTTGATTTCATTTACTTATTATTTATTCCTATTAAGATACATTATTTGGGTATCATAATCCATCATTCCAGACCCTGAAATCTCTCTTTGAACCATAATTCTGTTACTCAAATGACTGGATATTCCCCAGAGCTTTGTGAAATCTACAATATTTAATAATATATTTCAAGTTACCATTTAAAACATTGACCAGGATAAGGCAAAACAGGACCCCCTTATGCTATAAGTCCTCCCATACTTCTCCATCTTTGCCCATGAAGCTCATGAGATGCCCTCACCTAACTTTTAGTCAAACAAAAATTGCCTGAACTCCTGGAGTGTCTTAATGCACTAGTCCAGTGGTGGGCAAACTGCGGCTTGTGAGCCACATGCGGCTCTTTGGCCCCTGGAGTGTGTCTCTTCCACAAAATACCGACTTCTGCGCATGGGCCACGAAGTTTCAATCGCACTGCACATGCGTGCCTGCATGTGGTATTTTGTGGAAGAGCCACACTCAAGGGGCCAAAGAGCTGCATGTGGCTCACGAGCCGCAGTTTGCTGACAACGGCT